TTGATTCCCTTAAATATGGAATTAGTTATAAACAAAGATATAAGCAGACACTAGCTGTGGGACTTTCTATGATGCTATGAAACAAAAAGCCTCTCAAGATTTCTTTGATGTTATAAAACCGAAGTGGTATGCTAACGGTACGACTTCGTTTTATCGATATATCGTCAAATATGGTCAGTACCTGTAAGATGCTATTGACTCCAATTTATCATTCCAAGGTGTTGTTTTCCATGTATAATACTTATTTATTTATAACAAGTTATATTTTCATCGTTTAGTCAGTTTGTCAAAATAATGTCAAGTATAATCTCTTATGATGTTTTTGTTTTTTGGATTCTCTTTCTTTCACTCTCGACTTCAGAGAAGCAGAGGAAGGTTTCAGAGTACTACAAAACACAAGAAAGGCTCCTTGCAGGATTTAATGAGATGGAGACCATGAATGAGCTTGGTTCTTTGCCTGGAAGCCTAACGGAGGTCGTTTCTTTACTGTTTTTGTTGAGTTTTCCTAGACTCTTTCCTCCGAACTTTGCTAAGTGTCGTCTGCTGGAATTGAATTACCGTAAATGTTGTATTAATACCATTTTGTATTCAGGATGAAATGGAGCAACTAGCAAGGAGTGAGAGAATGGCAATTAATGTGTCCAACATTGCTAACATGGTGCTTTTTGCTGCCAAAGTTTATGCCTCTCTTGCAAGCAGATCTTTGGCAGTTATTGCATCAACTTTGGATTCACTCTTGGATCTTCTCTCAGGGTTTATTCTTTGGTTCACAGCGCATGCCATGAAAACCCCCAATCAATATCACTCTCCAATCGGAAAGAAACGAATGCAGCCCGTCGTAAGCTAATTATTTCTCTGCTCTTTACTCCAATATAAACTTATGGTTCATCATAAACATGATCTTATTTTTTTTATCAAAATTCTACCATAATATATAATCCGGAAAAAAAACTAGCAATGACCATGAATATCAGCTTCACAATCTAGATGCAAAATCCACCACCCCACGATTGACATAAGTCAACTTCAAAAGCAAGTGTAAAAAATAGGTGTCTAGAATGAAAATCACGGCGCAATACAACTTAAACTTGCCTAGCTTACTTCCTGCCACAGATCTTCAACGCTTTCCTGTTCCTCTTCTTGACACCTGACTTCGCAACTTTCAGACTACTATGAACGGCACTCAGCCTTGCAAGGGCTGCTCTGGTTAAATCCGGCCTGTAGTAGTTTTCTGTCACCTGGTTTTTTACTGCCTTCACCATCCTGGGGAACTCCTTTTTCATGACAGATTTGTGAAGCAAGACCGCTGGTTGTTCTGCTTCTTAGTCTTGGTGGTTGCTAGCAGCACAGACTGATCAATTCCCTGGGCTGAATGGTTACTGTTTTCTTGTTTGCCAACCCAGAGTATTTGTAGGAGTTGAGATTGTAGAGATTGTTAGGCTCTTTGCTGAAACGAACACCAGCAGTTCCTCTTCCGAACTGCTTCACCAAAAAGAAATTGTTCTTCTTCACTACCTCCCAGATTAAGTGTCCTGGAACTGTCGCCATTTTCTCTCCACCTCACTGCACCAGATCCACCACAAAAATGCGTAAGATTTGGAACACTCTAAAACAAATGAAACAAGATAAAGAATGAACTAATAACACTGCGATAAGAATATAAAAGAACCTGTTGGTTCCCAGGGTTTTTATAGGAACACTGAAGCCGCATAAACATGATCTTAGCTCCACATAAACGGACATGGTTTACTAACAAAGCTTTACAATCCAGGTATCATTGTTTTTGCTTCAGTAATGGCAACTCTAGGCTTACAAATATTGCTGGAGTCTGTCAGGGAACTTATTGCAAAGGTATGCTACTTAGATTCAATTAAACTTATCTAGCATCAAGTCTTTTTGGTATGGACAAAACGTTTTTACTCATTTTGTTCCTTTTGTGGCTCTAACATACATGCAGTCTCACCCCAAGATCCATCACAATCAAGAGAAATGGATGATAGGTATTATGGTTTTCGTCACGGTGGTGAAGTTCATCCTAATGGTCTACTGTCGGCAGTTCAAAAATGATATTGTTAGAGCCTACGCACAAGATCATTTCTTCGATGTTGTTACCAATTCGGTTGGTTTAGCAACAGCTGTTCTTGCTATCCATTTCAAATGGTGGATTGATCCGACCGGAGCTATCATTGTGAGTTCAAGTTTGAAGTTACTTCTCAAATCTCAATCACATTCATGCTATTAGATATGCTTAGAAGCTAATCATTTACATCTCTTAATTTCATAATTCCAGATAGCATTATACACGATGAGTACTGGGCAAGAACAGTGATCGAGAATGTATGGTCACTAATCGGAAGAACCGCCCCACCCGATTTTCTAGCGAAATTGACTTATCTAATATGGAACCACCATGAAGACATACAACATATTGACACGGTTAGGGCATATACTTTTGGTTCCCATTACTTTGTGGAGGTTGATATTGTGTTGCCTGAAGACATGCTGCTAAACAAAGCACACAACATTGGTGAGAAACTGCAGGAGAAGCTAGAGCAGCTACCCGAAGTTGAGCGAGCCTTTGTGCATATCGATTTTGAGTTTACGCATCGGCCTGAACATAAAACCATGGTCTGACGCTTGAACTTAGACATGATACTTGCATTGCTGGTCTGATTTACCATGTTCATATATTTGTTCATCTACTGGTGTCTGTTCTCCTTGTAGTCTTGAATGAAACCTAATTTTACTTATCATTGACCACGCATGGATGGATTTATCGCTCTTTTACTTTCTGTTATATAATTACTAGTTTTTTTTATTATAGTTAATAAACAAGTTTTATTATTAGTATGCATAAAGTTTTAGAATTTAATTAGTGCAATTAATCTATTTGGCATGCAATGTTATTATATGAATTTATAGAATTGACTATATAATGTAATTATATAAAATATGTTATTATTATTATTTTTTGAATGAAAGAAAGAAACAAATACTACAGAGCTACTCCATTTGTTGCCAGTATCCAGCAGCCACCAGATTACCGTCGTGGTTATCATCAGTGGTGGTGCTGGAAAATTTGGACACCGAATCTGCCGATCGAGCCAACTTAGCCATTTCATCTGCTATTGTGTTATCCCTCCTCGATACTTTTCTGAACTATACCCTTAATTATATAAAATTATATGTTATTATTATTATTTTTTGAATGAAAAGAAAGAAACCAAACTACTACAGAGCTACTCCATTTGTTGCCAGTATCCAGCAGCCACCAGATTAACCGTCGTGGTTATCATCAGTGGTGGTTGCTGGAAAATTTGGACACCGAAATCTGCCGATCGAGCCAACTTAGCCATTTCATCTGCTATTGTGTTATCCCTCCTCGATACTTTTCTGAACTATACCCTCCAATTCTGCCTCATCAGATACGAAATATGAGGAACCAACGAAGAAACACCCCATTGATTACCTTCCTCCTTCAAGACTCTAATAGCTTTTATTCTATCTATTTCAACATGAACAGCAGCAAGATGCATATTCCAAACTATTTTGAGACCTTCCAAAATACCCCATAGTTCAGCATCTAACACAGAACAAGATCCTATATGTTTAGCATAAGCTATGATCCATTTACCATCTTCATCACATATATCTCCCCCACACGACGTTGTTGCGAAACTAGTGTGTCTCGCTCCATCCGAATTCAACTTAAACCAACCAGGATTTGGTGGTTGCCACGTTCCATCTTGTTGATTACTTCCTCCGCTTCGCATCGACATTGGTCTCGTAGTTAAAGAAACACTAAGGCCTAGCATCTCATTCACCAATCGATTATTACGCTCTATGATGCTCTCACCTACAACAAATTCGTCATCAAAAAGTAAACTATTCCTCCTTGCTCAAAGACTCCAAATAAAAAAGTAAACTATTCCTCCTTGCCCAAAGACTCCAAATGATGGCGCCAAACCGTAGCTCCCAGTGTCACCACTACACGGAAAATAACCAGGCTGCGTAATGTTACACCGGATCTAGGGAGATAAATCCATTTGCATGAATTCCCTATATCGTTCTGGTTTAACCACAGTAAGCCAAATAGATTTCGTTATCGGTCATTCTCTTAAGACATGGGAAGCTGACTCAGGAGCAGCCCCCACAAATAAGAGTAGCTATTAGTAAACTTAAATACGAGCAGCCCACGTTAAGCCAATTAGATTTCGCTATCGGGCATTCCCGTAAGGTTGCGTAATGTTATTATTATTTATTAAATAAGAAATTAAACTTCATGAAATTTCCATTTATAGTAAGTTTACTACAAAAACCAGAAAGAGTAGCTATTGGTAATCAATTTAATTATATTAAAATATGTCAACTATAAGGCTCAACTATAATCAATTTTTATATATATTTAAGTCAAATATATATTGTGAATTGAAAAACTAAATCAAATTTTAGATCGAATAAAATTCTATTAAACTTGAATTGAGTTATAGGTAGAATAAAATATTTAATTTTGAAGTCGAGGTATAGATAAAAATTCAACCCAACTCATCCCGAATGAATCCTTCAAGTACAATTAAAGTTGTAATAATTAATTTATTAATTGTTTAAAAAATTAATTATTATTATTATTTTTTTAAAAAATAACATGAGTTTGAATTAGATTTTTCTCCCGATGACGGGTAAGGACGTAATTTTCACGCTAAGTGTAGTTAGGGTTTCTCTTCCCTCCCCTATTTATAATTTGCATCCCTCAAGTGTTCTGCATCGGACCCTCGCCTCGACTCGCCACTGTTCTCCTCTCTTCTATGAATTTTTATCTTTCCCTCCCTCTTTTTCCATGCATTTGATTTTAAATTATATTTTTACATCATTGGATATTTCTTTCTCTGATTCGTTTTTCCAAGGGTTAGTTACTGAGATATCATCTTTTATTCAAAATAATCTACGTGTTCGATTTTATATTTTTGTTTCAGTTCTTGTTGATTTGAATTTTTTTTTCAAGGCTGTGATGACTGAAAATTATACCATCAAACCCTGAGGGCATTTGGCCTCGTTGATGTAAACATACACTGTTAAAGGTCTGAGCCTATTTAGGAAAACTGTTTTGTCGAAGTATTCTACAAATTGTGAAACGTTTATGCATTCTGATATCCCCATTTAATGTGGAGATGAAAGAAGATGGAAGTGATGATTATTTCCCCAGATGATCGAAGCTGAACATACTGTGCGATTTGTTTTTTTTTCTCTAATTCGTTAGAGATTCCAAGCCAGTACTCTGATCCATCTTCTTCTTAACTGAATATCATTTTAATTGAAAATCGATGAAGCTGGTATATCCAGATTGAATCCTCAGCTCATTTTTTATGTTCAAATCTATCGACGGAGACTGTTGACGCACGAAGCCGAGCTGTGTGCTGATGGTTATATTCCAATCTCGAGGTTTTTGAAGAAAGACAATAATGAGAATATTTGGGGAAGAAAAGGGCGAGATCCGCCCCTTGAAAATCATCAATTTCCTTTTACTGAGTAGAAACGAGGGTTTTCTCTCTTTCACCATATTTGAACATTTCCTCAAATACTAAAGGCATGGTTTAAAGCAACAGAAGCCCTGTGCAACCATGGCGGAAGTTGGTGATTTTTGAGCGGCTGGACTTGTCTTTTTCTTTATCAGAGTACAATCATTTACCAACGAGGAGTATATCAGAGTGCATAACCGTTTCACAACGTCTATGTGATGATCAAACACTTGAATATAAAATGTTCAAAACATGAGCAGATAAAAAGTTTTGTGATCAAATTAAAAATTTTCAAATTTTAATGATCAAACTAGGATTGACAAGAGTTGAATGAGGAATTTAGTAGTTTGCCCTTAAAATTTGAAAATAATAAAGAATTCAGTATTTCAAAATAATTAATTATGTTATAATATTTTGAGATGTGTTTGTAAGGAATGCCATTATTGATGTGTATGATTATATTAAATTATGATATAATAATTTTTTAATCGTTTAAATTTTAAAATTTGTAAAATGTGCATTATATTTTGGATTTCATTAAAAAGAAACATTGTCACTTAATTATCTTTAAGGGTAATTGACATACAAAATTAATAAAAAAAATATTTCATTTGCTCCCTCAATTATAATTATAATTTTATTTTTGATATATTTTAATGTTTTTAAGTAATAATTTTAAAATCTTTTTAAAAGGCCAAGTGTGGTGTTCATTTCAGAATGGTTGGATCGAAAGAGCAGAATTATGTTGACTGCTGGGGTTGAATGGTTGAATCATATGTATCTCAAGCAAACTCCATATTTTTTTTGAAGACCAAGTCCAGGATGATGGGGGGTTACTTGGAATCCAATTCTTGGATAAAAGTCGTATCATGGTGATGGCCAAACTACGTAAATGTTAATATTTGACAGTTCAGGTGATCCTCTTGGCATTGTCGGAGGGATGGCGTTTACAGCAGCACGTTCTTCGTTGTTTTTTTCTACCAATCTCCATGGATTTAGCTTCTCTTTTTTATTGATAAACCGTAACACACACGGTTTAGGATTCAGCGACGAACATGAAGATTATTGATGAGAGAGAATGAAGTCTCATATGAATATATATATATATATATATAGTCCATAAATTTGGGTGAGTATGCTTCCTTGGTCCGAGTATTGGTACAACACATCATTTCACACTTTAGCTCATATGACTCTGTTTTAGTTTCTCTGTGGGCGACCGCCACCAACTATTTCACGTTATATTATGGATTCCACTGGCCATTCCTTTCTAGATGCTTTATGATAAACGGGGACGAGGCATTGAGCATTCTTAAGCACAATTTACTCCAGGCACAAACACCCATGAAAAGCTTCGCAGACCAACATCAACGTGAAGAGGGTGTTCGATGAAGGCGATTAAGTCGAATTGCAGCCTTATTCGACAGCATTCAATTCCACTTTATTAGAATATTAGAATGTTAATAAGATTAGTTAGTATTTGTTATTCTATTAGCACTTCAGTTAGTTGGTTTGGAGGGATGTTGGAGGGCTATATAAGCCTAGCAATGTAGTGGATTAAATCAAGCATTATTTGTAATTCATTTTCACATTTTAGTAAAACATAATCACTGTTGCTCATCTTTTCTTCACACACAATCGTTCTTCATTTCTTGCCATCGATAGCCCCTTTCTCACATGATATCATTCGCTAAAAGATCCTGACGTTGTTTACTCTTCTGCTGTTGCGTCGGCGATTGAGTTCCTTTTCTCTCAAGCTGTAGCTACTGTAGTGTTTATTTTGATGATCTTGATGCCGTGGTTTCTGCCACGAGTATCATCCTCACTGTTGAGCAGTAACGACTTATTGCCATTACGATTGTTGATGGATCGTTGCGGGGAAGGAGAAGCTACTATCAAGAGGTTAGAAGGGGACGTAGCTCTTGCCCAAAAAGAGAAGAAAGCCAAAGAAGCCAAAGTTCGATTCATAACTTCTAAATTACACTTTCTCCAAAACAATCTGAACAAAGCTTTGATGATCGGGAAATTCTCAAACTTCCTTGCCCGAGATGACTCTGTACCAGTAACGGTGATTGAGAAAGAACCTGCTCTGCTGGGAGAAGAGGAGGCAGAGAACAAAACTCAGGATCCAAAATCAAAGCAAACTTCATCATTTTTTGCGGTTGTGGAAGTAGATCAACGTTTCTTGAAATTGAGGCAAACCATACGCTTGAAGCTCAAAAACCAAGAAGAAGAAGCGATATACCATCTGGTTTATGCCCAACCGGATGTTACTGATTGGAAGTTCTTGTTGGGAACGTTGTTGGGTGACATGGGTCAAACCAAGAAAGCGTGCAAACTATTCAACAAAATTCTTCAGTAAGATCCAAATACATCTTTGTCCAGAAAACCTGGTGTGAAGACCCTGGCGACGACTATATCCCTTGATTCAACAGAAAATAATCCTGAGATTGATTTCGGGACACTGAAAAAGGGTACACCAATGTTAATTACTACCTTCATATGCTTAGCACACCAATGTGATCCACTTCCACCACCCATGGGAGCTGGTGCTTCAACCCATTTCATGAAGTACAGAAAGTATAGGACATCCATTGAGTGTGGATGACTTCTATTTCCCCCCCCCACTATTTATTGCTAACATAAGTTCTATGCTACTTTTCTTTCTGCTCAAAGTTTTCGTTGCTTACGAGATTTTGTTCGACTATGCTTTGGCGATGGATCGTTACTAGGGATTAGCTTTGTTTCATCTACTACTTATAATATGGTGTGCTGCATGGTGTTGTATTGCTGGTTATTTTGGATTGTGTATCATCATGATTTGTTGCTTCTATCTCAAAGTGTCATGGGACTTGAAAGCTTTACAGCCAAGTGTCCATGAAAAAAAATGTCAATGAACCTTGTATAAGAGGATGAAGAAGAAAGAAATTAAGGTGAATAAGTCGAACGGAAGGAAGCATTGACACTTCCGATTCAAGTTGAACGGAAGGATGCATCGGCACTTCCGATTCAAGTCGAACGGAAGGAGGCATCGACACTTCCGATTCAAGTCGAACGGAAGGAAGCATCGGCACTTCCGATTCAAGTCGAACGGAAGGAAGCATCGACACTTTCGATTCAAGTCGAACGGAAGGAAGCATCGGCACATCCGATTCAAGTCGAACGGAATGAACCATCGGCACTTCCGATTCAAGTCGAACGGAAGGAAGCATTAGCACTTCCGATTCAAGTCGAACGGAAGGATGTATTGCACTTTCGTTTCAAGTGTTCGTCTTTTCATCAAGAAGGTTGAAGAAGTCGGGTGAATATTAGAATGTTAATAAGATTAGTTAGTATTTGTTATTTTGTTAGCACTCAGTTAGTTGGTTAGCAGGTTGTTAGAGGGCTATATAAGCCTAGCAATGTAGTGGATTAAATCAAGCATTATTTGTAATTCATTTTCACATTTTAGTAAAACACAATCACTGTTGCTCATATCTTTTTCACACACAATCGTTCTTCATTTCTTGCCTTCGATGGCCCCTTTCTCATAGACTTCAACGGCATCACAACACTGATATTATAGCCCTAACAAGATTATTCGACTAATTGGTCAAGTTGCTTATCGACTGGAATTACCCGAATGCGCAGGCATCCATTCAAATTTTAGAGTTTGAAAATCATAAAATACGGGTTTCGTGGTAAATGTAAACATTGATGGTTCGTGTTGCAGTATGACCTGCGGCTGATACAATAACATGAACTTTTATTTAATCCAAACTTACTACCTAAACGTGAAGATACAGATAGTACTGAAAGTCGGATGACAGACACGAAAAGAAAATCAACAACAACAATTGAGCTCGGCTCCATCTCCAACCTTTTTTGCAACCATTCATGTCCTGCTCTTCCCTCGCTATCACTTCACTGCAAATACAGAAGAAAACACATAATGGATTACAATTTGGCTTAAGGAATATTACAGTATTGAATTGAGGAGACAAAAATACCGAAGAGCATTAGTGAGCAAGGCTGCCTTGTCAAGTTCCAGGTTTTCTCTTGCTTTCAAGATCTGGAACATGAGAGCTAAGCGGATCTGGGTTCTGGCACTCTGCTGTATTATCAACCTAGTCTCGTTCTGAAGTTGCGCACGTTCCAAGTCAACGGCTTCAAATTTTCCTCTTAATTCCGTCTGCTTCTCTTTGATCTCTTTCTGCTCTTCGCTTATTTCTACGTTGTCAGATTTGATCCTCTTCAACCTACTGTTCAGTCTTTTCAGCCTCTGCCTTTTCTGCTAAATATTACATTTATTAAAAAATGATAACAAATCTAAAATATAAACAACAATGTGAACATAAACTTTTGCCATCTCTAATGCAAAAGCATATACCTCACAGCGTTTCCATGCTGTTGTACGGAGGAGCTTTGGTTTAGGGAATGCGAGGGGGTGCTTTCTCTTTTGCATTATTTCGTGGGCGGCTACCACTTTTGAATTGCGTCTTCTGATTTTCTTCCCAACTCGCTTAAAACACCGGAGCCTATCACTAATTCCTAATCAAAGTCAATCAATGTAATTTCCAAGAAACCGGGCAGAATATTCTCGCAAGAGACGAACGATTTCGAGAGACTTTAAGAGGTGCTCGAGCGATGCCATCACGATACCGCAGCAGTTGAGACCATAAATTTTTCTACAAAAGGACAAAGCAACGACTGACTAAAATATTGCTTTCGGGTGCACCGAAATATTGCCTAAGATGCCCCCAATAAACTTTCTATGTAAAATACTATGCTTTGTCTTGTGCCTCCTTTGTTTATGTTGTCCAAGAAATAATACCTAACAACTCTCTTTAGTATAAATTCCATCCAGTTTTTGGTCTCGGGTTTTCTTTGTATCGTATTTTCCTCTGTTTTCTGGGTATTATCCGAGATATTTGATTCTGGGTTCTTTCGATTTAGTTTTCACCTTTTCCCTCCGGGTGAGAAATAAATTGAAAGAGCCTATAATCAAATTATCTCTTCACATTGGAAATTGTTGAAAAGAGAGGTAATTGTTTGAATCCAGTTCGTCGTTCTAATAGTTATGCTTGATTTTCTCTCTTTATTTTGGGTGATGTTTCCATGGATCGTAATTCTTCAGGTTATAGTTTTCTTTTCATGTTTCCCGGTAAATGATGCAATTTGGTATAAAGAAGATAAAAACAGAGAATCCCCCAATCAATGCATAATCTCCTAATTACGCTATCATTATCTATACAAGCTCTATACAATTTTTTTTTTTAATCTCCCTCATCATTCACAATCGCCTTAATCGAGCGAGTAACTTCCCTAAACAACCTATAATTCCTTTCTTCCCAAATGCTATACAAAACCCCAATCCACGCAATCTTAAGAATAAGCATGATGAGGGACTTACCTCGAAGATTCGTTTCAACCCAAAAGGTCCATCTTAACCCGCATCAACAGCTCTGTCCTGCTGACCACACCTCAACAAGATCCTTTTTCAGACCCCCGAGAATAAGTAAAGAAAAGATGATCCCTTGTTTCCTCCTCAATGCACACAACCATCAGTAGGAATACCAAACCTCCCCAACTGATCCTTAGTTGACAGCATATCTAATATCACCATCCAAACATAATAGAAAGCTTAGGAACATGAAAATAGAACCGTATTAACCTATGACACCTCACCTTCACTCTCCTACTCCTCACCTTATCTCAGATCCACCTATTGTTAATCAACTGCCAATTCAAGCTGGCAGCAAATACAATCTCAGCTTCACCCCTCACGTAATATTTCGAATTTGGACTAGTGACTAGAATGTAAAAATTTAAAAGTTTAGGAATAAAGTGTGGAATTGTAAAAGTATAGGAATTAAAAATGTAAATTTTTAAAAAGTTTGTCTTGGGTTTGTAAATAAGTTGTTCAGTACAAGATAATTATTTTAGTAGTTTCAGATTTTTAATCTAGAGTTTGCATAAAAGCCTATTAAAGTATAAAGATCAGTATAATACTTGAATAATCAGATCGAATCAAAAGTCTACAAAAATTTGAAGAAAAGAGTTTTGGATTAGAAAAAAATTATATGAATATTTTTAATTAGTGGAATTTCAGTTGGATTGGTGGAATTTGGTGAGAATTGCACTATAAAGTGAAATAGTGTAATTTAGTGACTAAATTGAAATTTTAGAAAATTGAAGGGTTAAAAGAAAAATTGAGAGATGAGATTTTTATGGTATTTATAATATTAAAATAGAGATGAAGGAGTGGCCTGGAGGTAAAAATGAAGATTCGTTAATGGCAATTTAGTCTTTTGGCCCAAAATGAATAAAAAAATTCACTTTATTAGCTTTAAAAGTTAAGTGTGTTTTTTTTCTTCCATTTTTGGTCTAATTTATTAGGATTTAGGACTAAGGTGTGAAATAAGAAAATAATCCCATTTAATTCTCTATAATTTGGTGTAATTATTTTTGTTTCATGCTTGAATGGTGAAAGTGGGTAATTTAGGCGATGAAGAGGAGACTTGGATTCATGAAAATTTATTGAATTAAAGTTAGGAATGGATGTTAGGAGTGTTGTAGAATAAAATACTAATGAAATTGGATTGAAAACCATTAGAAAGTAAGAGTGAAGCATTCGGCCATAAGCTTGATGAGTGAGGAATTGGTTGAATTTGATTTATTTTGCTTTGGAATTGTTTGGAATGGATTGGAAATGGTGCAATGATGACTAAATTATGAAAGAATCAAATTAGAGACCATTAGGGTGAAGATTGCAAAGTTTCGGCCTAAGGGACTAAGGGAGAAATTAAGGGAAAATTTTGTAAAAATTTCTTAATGGTTTAGATGGAATGTAGAAATGATTCTAGGTGCTTGAAATGATGTTTGTAACCAAATGGAACTTTGTTAGACTTTAAGGGATTTTTTCGCATAGTGTGATAATTTAAAGGATTAATGTGCAATCACTGAGAAGATAAGGTCTTATGCTGAAATTTAGTACAAAAACATTAAATTGGACTTTGGAAGAGTTTATAAGTTTAATGACTCAATTGAAAGTTTGAAGGAAGCTAGTGGTGAAACGGGAAAGTGTCGAATTAAAGGGATATTGGATAAAAATAAAATTTAAAAAGGGCTTGGAAAGGAATATTGAAAGAAATAAGTTGATTTAAATTAAGGGAGAGAAATTAATATCGAATAATTTTCAGAATTTTATTCGAAATTGAGTTTATTATTATTAGTTGCAATACTAATTCATGTTCGAAATTTGTTATGTCGGGATAATTAACATTCTTGTAGATCGTGATCATTCACAAGTTCAAAGAGAGATAAAAGAAAGGATAAAGTTCGAGAGTAAATCAATAGTATCAAATAAACTAGTGAGGCCACAGGTGAGTGCAACTAACTTTTATAAAAAATAATACGAATCATCCCAGATAGATCTGAAAGTAAATGTTTTTAAATCATATTTATAATAAGTATAATTTACTATTCTTTTATTTCATAGCATTTAAATATTTTTGGATATGAACGACAAAATCTGATTTCTATGAAAATGGTTTTATATTCTATTATTTGAATTATTTTTTATGCAAATTAGTATTTGATTTTAAATAAAACCCATTGTATGAGAATGAGGGTTAGTGGTACAATGACATGCCATGAGGTGGAGTGAATCTGTATCTGTTTCAGACTTGACACCAAGATGGATCACTCGTACTCTGACTCGGCGTACCCTAGTGGTGCACGAGGTGGAGTGATCTGGTGTATCTGTCTGGTTTTATATGTGTATTATATGGCACCAAGATGGGTCACTCGTACTCTGACTCGACATATTTTAGTGATGCACGAGATGTAGTGACTCGATGCAATATGTTCTGGTAATTTCAACTGCTTATAGCACGCTCACTCATTATCTGACTCGCGTACCGTATATCTCATGAAAATACAATGGGTGATTGTATGATATGAAATAGAAAAGTATAAATCTAGAATGACTCGGTTCATGAAAATTCAACACACTTTTATTTCAAAAAGTCGACATTGGTCTGGATGTTGTTTAGATTTAAAGTTGAGAGGAATAATCAGTTGGTAGCAAGTTCGACTTCTTAGGAACACACTTAGCTGTGGTCCACTAAGGAAAATTGAGATCGGATTCTATTCTCACTGAGATAACATAATCCGAGTCAGGTTTTTCCAATACTTAAAACTATTTTGTGCTAACGATGATAGTCATAGTTAGTCCAATCAAGGATTGATATTGGGAATATCGATTTACCAAAGAGAAAAGTAAGTTACAAAGGTTGGATCTTGTAGACTGTAACCAACATGAATCCCGAAATAAAATATATTTTGATGATCAAAACGAATTGATGCTCAAAAACGAATTGATGCAAAGCGAAACTTAAGGTTATTTTTCCATCATTATTATTTTCAACTCTTTTACTTTCATTCTATATTATTTCACTTACTTAATTTTATTCAATTTTTATTACCAAATCCCCTTTTTCCTTTTTATTACAATTATTAGTTTACCTATAACATAATCAACTCAATTCAATGTTAGAAATTTCTAAGTCCCTATGGATTAACCCTCTCTTCTCTATATGATGCTTGTCAGAATCCCCTTATATTTGGGAAATGCTTACATGCAACACCTTAATATACGGCTAAAATAAGAAGATATACGTTTTGTTATTATTTTAAATAACAAAATCGGTAAAAAAAGACCAAAAATATTATTTCTATCGGTTTTGTATTATTATCAATTACCGATATATGTAGTCACGGTAGAAAAAATCCGATCTAAAAAATAATGTTTTAAGTAGCGCTTTACCGAAAACATTTTTTTACCGAATTTTTTTATCGCGATTACCTATATCGGTAATTTATAATAATAATAATAAAAATAATGTTTTCGGTAATTTTTATCATTTTTATTATTTAAAATAATAAAAAAATCAATAACACTTTTTTTAACCGTATATTAACCTGCCGCACCGTAGAAGTACCCCCCACACCTCAACCACACCATAACTTTTGCCTTTCACAATATGATCATTTTTTAACCTTAATTTCATTCAAAAAGCAACCACTCCCAAGGAGGCAACCCTAAGCTTTCGAGCACCATCACATCTGCCAAGTTAGAAAGCACCTCAAATTTATTTGAAGATCCAGTCATAGTTTATTTATCCTTAACCTTTGCTCTAAACTTCTTCTGCTGAGACATAACAGCTTGCAAAGTAGGAAACTCCAATCCTTAGTAAACTGAACTGGGCTGTTCACCTTATCAGCCTGAACCTCCACATCTTTAGCAACATGAACTGAGCTGCTTACCTTATCAGTCTAAGCATTTAAACACTTCACTGACTCCCCTAGTGCACTTTGGCCACATTTGACCAAACCATCCCCAAGCACAGGCTTAGCAACATGTTTATTAACCTATGAGGTCTCACACTGATCAGCCTTAGGAACCTCAACATCAGGAGAACCACAACTTCATTTTCCAAACTTGGGAAACCTTACCTCCTAGAACACTATTAGGCTTTACTGAACAAGCCTTATCAAAGTGGCCGAAAACCTTGCACCCCTTACAACAAGAAGGCAACTAAGGAATTACCACCCTAACAGAGATCTTGGATCCATCCTAAGCACTACACTCATAGCTGTAGGAATCTTAACTCTAGCTTCAATTTTAACGTAGACCTTCACAAATTCAAGTCTCTGCTTAGCTGCTGTAACTGAGTCCATGTAAAGTGGGATACCAATCGCACTGGCAATATAGTTTAATCCTGATTTGGAATAAAGCTCCAAAGACACATTACAAATGCACCCAGATCGACATTTTTGATAAATCAAAATCTAATTCTGCATACAAGGCTCCCATTTCCTAAGAATCATAGGCTTATTATGAATATGCCATGGCCCGTTCTCTGACACTCAATCCCTCACAGCAACATTAAGAAAACACAAAGTCCATGACCAACCAGACTTACCTTTGTAAATTCCCCCCAAATTCCCTCATAATCTTCTGCATCGAGAGAAAATTTGGAGCCGCGCTAATAAATTGCTCAACCAACGAGAACTGTCAATCTAAAATTCCATCTTCAAAGACTGCCGGCAGTAGCTGAACAATCGGAGCCCCCTCACAAGTGACTGGAGGAAAGTAATCCGAAACCTGCCGCGTAGCACCCACGAACAACTGCTTCCAATCAATCTTCGCCTCAGCACCAATCGCACTCAAACGACAGCAAAGCCAAAGAATCCAATATGGAACCAATTAGAGAAGATCGCAGCAAAGTCCAAACAAAAACATCCCAAACCGCCGATGAAATCTCAGAGCACATTAGGTCAACTAACGTGCACCTAGAGAAAACACCTATCGTGCACCATGCCCTAATATATGTGCAACTTAAAAAAGACAAAGTTAAAAAAGAACAAATAAAAAAGCAAATAAATTGAATAGTGATATCTAACTAAAATAGTATCCGTTTTTGTATTATTTAAATAATAAAAGTAATAAAAATTATTTAAAAAATTATTATTTATTTAAAATATCAATATTTTTTAATATTTTTGATAAAATGTTCCATAATAATAAAATCGGTAGCGTTTTATTAAAATCAGTAAAACGTCCAATAATAACAAAATCGGTAGAAATAATAATATTTATAAATTTTTTCCGATTTTATTACTTAAATAATAATAAAATTGATAATACTTTTTTTAATGTATATTAAGACTGTCGTACGTGATGATTTCTAATGATATCGTTTTGAGAACGCGTGCTTAAATAGATAGAGCCTCTTAACCCTCTTAAGATGTTTTACCTTAGTAACTTGGATGATAGCTTTTTTTAGACAAATGGATGACCATCTTTTCAGAGTTCTCAAAGTTTTATGCGTCTATTTGAAAAGAAGAACATCGATTAATTTTTTAATTATGTTTTGAATTATATATGAAAAGTGTCTGTTTATAGGCTACAAAACACCTAAAATTTAAGTAACTTTCTAGAAATATATTTAAATTAAACTACAAAATTTAATAAATAAAATAATTTTTGATTTATCTAAATTATTTAATAAAATAAAATAAATATTAAATTTGATCCTAAATTATTTAAAATACTTAAATTAAATTTATATTAAATTTAATTACAAATAATTAATAAAATATAAAAAAATTATAGTTATTAAAAAAATATGAATTGATTGAATAGAATTTTCAGACTAGATTGTCTTCGGTTAAAACGAGCATACCTTAAGTTATTTTTATAATCGGTTGTAGCATTTCGAGGTACGTTGGAAAGATGACTTAACAATCAATCATTTTATAAGAAGGCATCTTAATTTTAAAACTTTTAACTCTTACATGAAAATCTATTATAAATTAACTGATGTTTAACCTTTAAAAATAATTTTAATTCCTTAACTAAAAGCATGCCGTATCATAACTGTTTTACAGGATTCAAGAGAGTGTGAACTAGTGATGATTGCTTAACTTTATGAATAGTATAGTCACTTAACCAAAAATCTTGTGTGTTTCAAGAAAATATTGTTTGCTTATTCAAAAATGAAGTAAATGAATTGTTGAAAAATGAAAGAAATATAACTTTAAAAAAGATATTAAATAAAGTTTAAAAAGGATGAGGAAAGTGCTGGTATCAATTGAATGAAGTAAAAATCACATGGAGCAATATAATTGAGTAATAGTTTTTTTAATAAACATGTTTGAATAAGAGTTTGAATTGCAATAGTGATTAGCTTAAAAGACATTTTTTTGGTATAATTATTGACATACGATCTATTGATCGATTAATTTAAATTAAAAGTTATGAAGATCTATCATGAAAGAATTTTTTTTATTCGAGTTCACTTATTCATAATATTAAAATTGAATCTTAGATCTTATTTAAAAAAAATCTAATACGTAATTATGCTTGCTCAAGTGATAGTTGATCATTAAAGATATTTAATTATAAAGAGAAATTATTGTATTGTGAACAAAAATGGAGCTATAATGAGTTTAAAGTCTAATTGATAGTTGCTATACCTCTGGAAGTACCACCAACAATCACTTTGGGAGATTTATCGGAGAGTACAAATTCTGCTGCTTCTAAGGTATGTTTCCTCATAATGAAAGTGCATACGATTGTATCTTTATTATATTATATTTCAGTAACATGAAAAAAAGCATATCATGCATTTGTTCCAAGTCGATATGCTTGGAATCTGCCTGTTATCTTTATTTTCTTTTCTTTTATCTGCTGAGAAACTGGATCTACGATGGCCCCAAAGGTGCTAAAATGGCGCGTAGGGTTAAGAAAAACATATTTTTTTTTCTATCTGATAGAGCTACACTACTAGTATAAGGATTCGTACAAAACATTTTAAATTTAGAGACTAATTTATAATAGAGCCATAATCTAGGTTGATACAGAATATTTTAAGATTTAGGGACTAATTTACAAAAAATCACAGGTTGAAGTCATCTTGTACAATTATCTATTTTATCAGTTCATGACTTAGCAATACATACTCAAAACAAACAACAAAACAAAAGAATGGGGAAACGCCGGTCGTCGTCTCGACGCAACCCACCGTTACACACAAACAAACTTCAGAGTTCTTTTCATCTACATCTGCATTTACTATGCTTCCCCGTACATGAGATAAGTTTGGTTTTAAGTTTGTCCTCCAAACTCCGTTTTCCCCTTTCCTGAGTTGGGTTGAGATTTTGATATAATCTAGCAGAAAAACAAGGGATGTGCCCTTCAAATGAACTGTATTTGAATTCAAATTGGTGGTTTGCCTTAATTTCTATTCTTTATTTGTTTTGATTCCCAGAAACCGAAAGCTGCCAAAAGGAAATATCGTGGATTTTGGAAAATGAAGATTCTGGTACGTGGATAGTTCTTTACTCTTTGAGTCTTTGTTCAATTTTGGAGTCTATAAAAAATAGTTTTTTTTATCTTTTATGTTTATAATTTTTAATAATTTGATCTTTAAGAAACTATAATCTTTTTAAGATTATAAAATCAAACTCACAAAATTTTAATTTTACCAAAAATAAAGAAAATTTTAGAATAATACATCAACATATTTAAACCTTATTGATTTGATTGTTTTTCAGTGAATTCAATTCCATCCAGCACTGTACTGACTAACAATGAACAGGAAAAGGAATTGAAAGCGTGGGAAGCAAAGGCAAGGGAGATGAGAAGGGAAGTTGAGCACATGAAATTGGGAGATCGGGAATCCAAGGCAAAGCTGATAACACTTGAGCTGATTAATGCAGAAACCAGGGAAGCTAATCGTCAAGCATCCATCGACAATGCTCGGAACCAGCTTCTCGTTCAAGCTATGCTTCCTCTTTTCCATGGTAATTGCGATTTCCTTTTTCAATCTAAAAACTGCTTTTCATGCCAACGTTTCAGCCGCTGCAAAATGACCAATGATTTCTTTTTCTTTTTTCATTTTATTTTGCAGATTAAATTTTAGTTCAGAAAGAGCATCTTCTCCTTGGGTTTGGACGGCAATAAAGGATGAATATTCCATGGAGTTGAGTGCAGAAGAATTAAGTTAACAAAATTTATAGGCATTATTTATTGTTTATTTTTGTATAAAATACACAATGATTCCCTCATTACATGGTGTTTTTTTTTGACTCTCTCAATAATTAAAAGTTATAAAATGGTCCCATAATTATAGGAGATTGTTTTGTTGAATCTTTCAACTATTAAAAGTTATAAAATTGAGAAGTTATACCGCGGCATCCTTAATATACGGCTAAGGAAAGACGCTACCGATTTGTATTATTATTTTAACAAACCGGTAAAAATTTCCTAAAACATGAATGTTTTTTAACATTTCCGGTAAAGTGTCCAATAATAACAATATCAGAAAAACGCCTAATAATAACAAAACTGATAGAAATAATAATGTTTTCGGTAATTTTATCGGTTTTGTTAAAAAAATAATAACAAAATCAGTAGTGTATTTCATAGCCGTATATTAAGGTTGCCGCACGCGAGACTTTCCCCAAATGATTAAGTTATTAAATGGTCACACAATTATAGGAGATTCTTTTATTGAATCTTTCAACTATTAAAATGATTACTCGACTATTATATGTTTTAAAATCGTTTTTTTAACAATTGTCTAAACTAGTCATTAATTTGTTGATATAAATATGATAAATCTTATTTAAAAAGCGTTTGGGTTATAGTTTGTGGATTGACTCTCCATTATGTTATGTCATCGAGCCGTACTTGAATGCAACGATAGTGTCACTAAACATCATTAAAATATAATTTTAGCATATCATTGTCAACAAAATAATCGAAGAAAAAAAACAAGTGAAATAACATTGTTTTAATTTTTAATTTTATGTTATTTAAATTTTAAAATTCAAACAAATTCCATTCAAACTCAAATTCCGAATAAATATTTTAAATGGACTAAAATAAATCAAATAATTTAACCCCATCAACTAATTTTTTTAAAAAACAACTTTTCTAATTAAGTTAAGTTTTACTCGCCCTACCGATTAACTATCCATAATACAAATTTAATGTTTCATTATATTTGAATAATTTAATAAAAAAATTTAAATATTTAAAAGTACAGTAAAAGTTTAAAGATGGAATGACTGGAATAATAAAAAGGGTAAAAAGTCAGCTAATTTTTTTTTGATATTGATGTCAAAAAAAAATTAAATCCTCAAATAATATTAAACATAATTATTTATCCGAATAAGGTGAATTTAAAAAACAAATCGTTATCCTTAAGTGTTCCATTTTACTTTTTAATTTTTTACAATAATAATCCAATTTTAAACTCTAAACCATAACTCCTAACCTAAATCCTAACTCTTAAATCATACCTACACATAAACTCTAAATCTAAAAAAAGTAAAATATAAAAAAACTAAAATATGAAGACGTACTACACTCCATACATCCTCTTAATTTATATTAGAGTCCATATATTATAACAAATATCCTATTTTAAAAAATATTTTAACGAAACCATTATTCGAGTAAATAAATTACCCTGTAAAAACTACTACCTTTTATATTTTGGCTTTTTGCATCAATTTTGTCGATCAGGTTAAAATGTAAATTATAGTAAAGAATGATGTGACATTTACCAAAACTTAGGATTATGATTGCATTATTTATGTCGACTGTCGCCTCTTCGGGTCGCCCTACCCACGCGACTTCCTAAGAGAAGGTGCACGATCCTCGCGAGTTCCCCGAACAATATTCGAATGACACAAAACTAAAAAGGCCGTGTTTTGAAAATCAAATTAAATTAAACTAAACGACGTTGTTTAAACGAGCCAAATCGAACTCGAGTATTGCTACGAGCCAAATCGAACTCGAGTATTGCTGAGCTCAACTCGAACTTGAAAACTTTAAAAGTAAGCTCAACTCGACTCAAACTCACGAGCTAAAAATTATCAAGTTCAACTCGAACTCGAAATATAGCTTGATTGAAGTGAAAGAATAGTTCACTCAATGCTCACCAAAAGGCTCCATGATTTTAAATGTAAAATTACCTCTATTATTTATAGAAATTAGTTAGGATGCTCTTCTATGTTTCTTAGTCATGTGAGATTATTTTGTTCTCATATTTTTACTCTTTAGACTTTTGGAATGCTCTTCTATGTTTCTTAGCAATGTGGAATTGTTCTTTTAAAAAAAATTAAACCAAACAATATCATTTTGTTATGATTTTTTTAGCCCCAAATTTATTTTTTAATTATAGTTATAATTATATTTATTATTTAATATGGTTTACCTTAAATATTATGTTATAGTTAATTTGAATCATTTTGTTTCACTTGATTTTATGATTTTTAACTTATATATGTTATGACTTGTTTTGAATATAACTTGTGATATAATTTTTTTTATTAAATATTTTTGGTATTTTTATTTAATTTTTTAAATAATTATGACATCGTTCTGTTCTTCCGACCAGTCAGACTGATTCAACCGATTGAACCAGTAAACCGGTAACATGACCGGTTCGCTAACCGATCCGGTTCTGAAAACCATGCTAAAAGGAATACGAATATTAATAGCTCAATTTCTTGATTTAGCAATTCCATTATGCTCAAGTTTAATATTTAATCTTTATATTTTAATTTTGCATTTATAATATATATATATATATATTTATTTATTTTTATTATTTTATGGCATCTTTACTCATTACAAGTAATTGACACCGTTAGTTTTTCATCGTGTTGTTGATTTTTTATGTTGAAAATATTTTTTATAATCCACGTTAATATTTTAACAAGAATAATTAATAATTTTAATAGTTTTAACTAACTACAAAGCAGTTTTATAAAAGTAAAAGAGCTAAATCATATCAAATTAAGGTATATATGACTAAATGTTAATTTTAGCAAGTAAAGGGATCCAAATCAGAATTTGACCTATATAAATAGGCTTAATTATAAAACAAGTAATCAAACTATAGTGTTTTTTATGAATAAGTGCTTAAATTTTTTTTTTTGAATAACCTCGGTATTTAACGATACAAACATAACCACTTTAAGTGTCTAGGTCGTAAACATTCATAATTTCCTCAAATATGTGATATGTCTCGCCCTCAGGTAATTTTAAAAATTTTATTTAAAAAAAACTTATATATATATATAAAGCCTAAAGTTTACAAAAGTCTTAAAAACCTCCCCCAAACTTTGAACATCCTAAATTTAGTCCCTATACCCATGCCCCCGCCACTTGGTCACACCTCCATCGAAGATCATTTACCTGACAAACAACCGCCATAACAGTAGTCGAATACCCTTAAAATCGTAACAAAATCTACCATGTTTACCATGATGAAATGACGACGAACGTGATGAAAGGACAACCATCATGACTCTACAACATCGTCCAACTACGAAGATGGCAAGGAAGGTATCAGAGGCGGAGGTTGTGGCCGTGACTGAAAATAAAGGTGGAGTTAGGGCTAGGGTTAGGATTTGAGGATATTAGAGCTTTTTTGTATTTTAAAAAAAATGGAGTTTGTTTCTTAATAAATATAATATATATTTTAATTTTTTTAAAATTATTTCAAAATTACCTAAGCGTGAAACATGTTTATTAACAGAGGAAATTAATGTCGTTTACGATCTAAACACCTAAAGTGGTAACGTTTGTAAAGTACACTAGATTATTCAAAAAATAGTTTACACACCTATTTGTAAAAAAAACATTATAATTTGAACATTAATTTTATAATAAGCCGTATAAATATTATTAATCCTTGGGGAAGAGGTAGTATACTCAGTTCCAAGTTGGAGAGGCTAAGCTGGTAAATGGCGATTGAAACGAAGATGATGACGGAACATTGGGAAAATTGTCAAATTAAGGAAGCGAATGGTCACGCGGTAGAGTTTTGATGGTGAAATAGAATCTCAGCATCTTCCCATCATCTCTGATGTCATTCGCTTCTTTAATTTGGGCGATTTTACTTGCGTTTCTTTTTTACTTAGATCCGTTCCATGTGCTTCGTAATTTCATCTTACTCTTAGATATACTTCGAGTTCAAATCGATGAAGAGAAAAAATCATATAAGTCAGAACAAGTAAGAGAAACCATAATCTCTTAAGCTTTCAATTATTCCTCTCATTTAACGTTCTTCTTTTATTTAAGGGTAATATAACGATCAAGAAAGCTGGAAATGAATAATGTTTTCTTACTTGCATTCAAAGAAAGATTACATGGCTAGTTTATATACAGCTATAGTAGTTATAAATTTAACTGACTAACCAAATTACAACAACTAACTAACAACTAACTAATGAAGTAACTAATAACAAACTGATGTCTAATACCCCCCTCAAGCTGGATGTGCATGTATGTTAAAGGGACCCAGCTTGGCATTGAAACAACGATGTATGGGAGGTCGAAGAGTTTTTGTGAAGATGTCAGCCAACTGATATGAGGAACGAACATGAAACAACTTCAAAAAACTAGCTTTCACCTTGTCCCGTACAAAATGATAATAAACTTCTATGTGCTTTGTCCTCTCATGAAACACTTGATGAGTTGCAAGGTTAATTGCAACCTGGTTATCGCAATATAATCTTGCACAATCAATATCCTCATGAAATGAAGAGAGCAAAGAAACAAGCCAAACTAATTCTCATGTAACCATAGCCATAGCTCGATATTCAGCCTCGCAAGAAGATCGACTAACAACAGCCTGTTTCTTCGATTTCCAAGACACAAAGCTATTACCAAAGAAAGCACAAAAACCTGTCGTGGAGCGTCGTGTATCAGGACAAGAACTATAATCTGAATCAACAAATATACTCAAGTGATTAGTGGATTGAACTAGAAATAATAAGCCAAGACCATGAGAGCTTTTGATGTAGGCCAGAAGGTGCTTTAAGGCAGTCATGTGAGGTAGACAAGGGGAATAATCAAATTGGCTAAAAAATGTACAATATGAACAATGTCTGGCCTATTATT